ACCCTGTTTGTTTTATGCAAGTGTTTAAGGCTTGACTTACCCTGACTTTTGCTGTCCTGTCACAAGGTAACTGGATACTGAAGGTTAATTGTTTACTATGGGGAACCAGGGAATGAAAGGAGGGGGGGGAATAAACTTTACATATAACTTTATGTGTGAGGAGACTATAGATATGTGAAATAGGAGGAAATAGAACAACACAGGTGACATAATTATTTTCATGTACTCGGATACTAAAGAAAAAGATATAATTGTAAGGCTTTGGGTAGAGAAGTACTTAGGAGGCATTTAAACATTGATATTTTAAGCAATAAGGAACAAACTCTGTTAGAAGTGTTTAAGACTCCTATTGCCTGAACCACATTTTCCTTTTTTTTTTTTTTTCATAATGCAAGTATATAAAAGGTAGCTTTGAATAATTGCAAGAGACCTAAGAGGAATTTTTTTTAAGAGTGTGTAATATTGATGTTGTAATTCCGTGTAATATTGATGATGTCATAAAACTTACAGTGAAACAAAATCTAAATTAAGGAAATCAAACTTGAAATTCACAATAAGATGCAAAATTAAAAACTGGAGATGTTAAAATAGCGAAGGAAAGGAGTAGACAGTAGTGAGTTCATATGTGCATAAATGAGCTGTGAATTTACCATGTAAAGTATTGCTATATTTTATAGAAATCAGTTATTCTTAAAATACCTTTGATGATTTCCAGTAATGACAGTTTTAGAACTAATCAGTATTCAAAAGTTTAAGCACCAGTTTCCTTATCTTCCAATTAACCATTTGAATACAATGATACTGTATGGTTGCATTTATTCATCAGTTTTAATATACAAAGCATCTTTTGCCTATATGTTTTTCACTTCACTGTTTGGGCAAAGATTTTCTGACCTAAAGAAACTTCTTTTATGTAATTTTAGCTTTTTTAGGTTAGTAGTTTCCAAAAAAACTTGGACAATCTCCCTCAGGTGAAATGAAATTTCACAGCAGTTTGTCAACATTAGTACTAGCCACTCCATTAYATGGTTGAAGGTTAGGCTCTCTTGCTACTTTTACAAAGAAAGAGCAACAATTAGTCCAGTTTTGAAATACTCAGAGTCAAAGATGGACAGTAAAATGTTCTGAAGGATCCATCTTAACAGGGTCTAGCTACTTAGAGTCACGTTGACGTTGCCAGACTGGGTGTATAAATATTTATTGATGGACATCCTGAAGTACTGAGAGATTTCTGTTGCACGTGAGGCTTCTGATTGTTGCAATTCCCTTCAATAAGAAGTATATCTTTTATCAAGTCTGAAGGATATTTCTTTCTTTCCCCTGTATTTAATCCATGGAGGTATCCAAACCTGACTTGGCTCTTCAGGCACCCTTGCAGAGCAAAGGAAGAGAAAGTCATACTGCAATGCAGTCTGTAATTAAATAGGCAAATTGGAAAGTGATGCAGATGGTGGAATATATCATAAAATGGGATGGAAAGATGAAAGGCTTGAGTCAGAGCAGGAAAAGGCCTTCAGCCTATTGGCTTCAGGGATTGCAACCCCAAAATCACATGGATGTGACACAAATCACACAGCCCAGCTTTCCTGCACCATTTCTTACTGTTTATGAGGCTTGGGATTAGGCCCTGTGCTGCATTCACTCTCAGGCAGGCTGGAAAAATACTGAGAATTCTCAGCACAGTTTGGGAAAAAATTGCTTGTAGTCTGGATTAAAGCTAAGACTGTTTGAGAAGGAATAAATCTCAGAGTCTGAACTCAGCTCAGAATGTCCATAGGCCTTTTCTGTCACCTTCTATTTGGGAAGGGACTGAAATGCCCTGACTTTGTTTTAGTGACTTGTCCAAGGAAATAATAACAGCCAAAGAATATTACCAGCTGCTTCTCCTACTCAAATCAAATCAGATGTGGATCTAATAGATTACTGAATTTGGAGATTTGTGTGATTTTATACCTTCGCATTCTATCTAGGGCACACAGACTTTGCAAGCTGGTTTAGGCTAGAAAAATATCCAGACAGTTTTTATGCTTCAAGAAGATGGAAAAAACAACCCGTGTATGAGCAATGGCCATGGAGCTGTGGCTGTGCTTTCATGTGACAAGAGAAGGATCTGACACACTTCTCCCACGTGGGCAAGGCTGAGCTCAGAGCCAGCATGACTGCTGCTGCTCTTACCATTGGCATTGCCATCATGGTCACGTAGCATAATGTTGCTTCTGTTGAACCAAGCAAGCTGTGTTTGGAAATTGCTGTTGTGTTATTCTTGGCTTTTTCATAGAGTTCAGCAGCTCATGTTTCTGTGTGAAAAGTATGCTCAAGTGCAATGCCAAAGCACTCAAAATGTTACCTGTGCCACGCTGATGTGTCCATCCAGTGCATTCTAGCCTGGAATCTCACAGCACAGTCACATTAGCTGTGCTCTTCCACAAAGCCACAGCGTCCTTAGCTGTGCCACATGAATGATGTTCTGTGAATGCATTAGGTTTATACTCAGAAAAAATATACCCTGTTTGATGTTGAGGTTAGAAGGCATGCAGTGAATGGTAGGGAAAAGTGGTTAATGTTTTAATGTCCTTAAAATAAATTCCATTATTTTCTTTGCTTTAGCACCTATGTGTTTTAAGGCAAATCATCTAATGTAAAAGTTTCTTGGCTGCTCATGGTCATTATCTAAGGTTGAAATTGCAGAAGCTCAAAGCTCTCATAACCTCAATTAAACTGTGCTTTCAGTGTACACTCTAATGCTTACTCAGAACAAAAATAAGCTGTCAGAGTTTCAGCATTAAAACTCTGTCTCTTAGTTCCTTAGTTATCAAATAGTATGAATGGATGATGTTCTCATGATAAGTTCAGRAGGGGAGTTGAAGTATCCTTTTGTTATTGGGACAGTACCATGAAAAAGGCAGTAGAAAATTACCAATGTTATAGTGAGTTTATAGTTTGGATGACATGTCTTAGAGAGATCCTGCTAGATATGGAGATAGAAAAAATTTGAATACTAACTCATTCACTGAATGCAGCATTGGAATGGCAAATGAATGTGCAGTCACATAATGCAGGTACATTAGAGACAGAACCGTGTGGGAAAGCAGATTTGCTTTGCATGGTTTTTAGGAGTAGGAACTTAATTTGGAATGAAGTCCCCAAACTGTGAAAGTCTGCATTATGATAAACACTGGTAAGTGTACTGGTTTGGACCAATCAAGTTGGCATTGTTTGTGTGCATACATGCATATATATAAATATGTAATTTTTAGAGTATTTGAAATATTGAAATGAAATATGTAAATGCCACTTGAAATACATCTTCTCTTTCAGACATATTTTAATGATCTCCACCTTAAATTCTGATTATCTTGGAGCTCTTCAGTGGTGATTGTTGAAACTTCATTTATTAAAAAAGTGGCTTCTCTTTCTGGTCATATCTAATCATGATAGTTAAGCATCATCGATGTATTTCTTAATTTTTAAATCCTTCATTGAAGATTTTCTTCAATAGTTTTTAACATCAAATATCAAGTAGTTGACATGCTACTTTATTCTACAAGGGATTTAGATAAATGAGTAATTTTAGAGTGCCACACTAAAAATCTGTTAGAACTTAATTAGATACAAAATATTAGACACTTTCTACAACCGGAGTAAAATGATTGTGTTGATCTTGGAACTCTAATGTTGAAGAGTTTTTCTCTTTAGTTATTGATCCTGTCTGTTGCTTCAGTTGCCAGGAGCTGAAGCACTCAGAACACGTCTTAAAAAATAAAAGATAACAGTGCTGATCTTAATACATAGAGTTTGTTGGTTTTGCAGAAATAAATATTAGCTACAGCACTTTCCAAATACTCTGGGTTTCTCATCTTCCAGTATTGAGCTGTGTCAGGCTTCTATTTTCAGTTCTTCTTTGATGATAGTGCTTCTTCTGAGGACTGGGACTCGATCTATTTAGCTGTGTAGCAGTAATTCTGTAAAGGGCTGAACTCCAGTATAAGTACTCTCCCAATGAAATCAGTGAGAAGAACTTCATTTATTATAGTCATCCTTTTGAAAATCTAACATTTAATGTGCTTTTATAATGAGTTGGAAATTGTTGTTTTGTTGGGGTTTTTTTTTTTTGTTTTGTTTTTTTTTTGAGACTTCACAAATTTTTAGAAATAAATACAAAAGGAATTACATGACTGGAGGCAAAGACTATTGTGCAAATATTTTTACTTAGTATTTACTGCTATGACTAAAACTGCAGGAATGACTCAGATAATTGCCGGTTGATGTAAAGGAGTGAAGTCTGTAGGGAAATGCTAGGACAAGAATATTAATGACTTAGAAATGAATTAAAGTCAGAATTGCATATCCCTATTTTTGGACACTTTCACTGCTGAGAATAGCTATCAACACCCCAATTCAACAACCAAAGAATTTCACAGAACGTAATTGAAGGAATAGTGAACTACTAAAAGAAAAGCCATTCAGGTACAGATTTGAAACATGTTCAGAATTATCTTCGCTTTTTCTTTCTAGGTGTTCTGTGAGTAAATAGTAAAGTAACATAGGGACATTTGGCAGTGCTTCCCTTAAAATATATGTACTGACATTGATTTTTGAGGATACAAAGCTGTGTCTCTTTGCATGAGGTTTATAAAGGAGGAGTTTGTCCTGCAGTTTATTAATGTCAAGGTTCTCTTGATTTCACTGTGGGTTTCTCTTGTGTTGAAATTCCAGTTAATCTGTCTTGGAAGGCCAATGCACAGATACTGGCCCTTTGAGGTGTTATGTTAAAAAAAATCAGTGTGAAGAGTTGACAGAAAGGGATGCAGTCCTTTAGCAGAAGAAAAGAAACTGACAACTTGTAAACCTCATCTATTCAAAGCTATGTTTACTGAACGCTGGAAGTTCATATTACAGGGAGCTGCTTCTCTCTTTCCAAACATAGTTGGAGTGTACTAAGGACAGGCCCAGCTAGTAAGTGCAGGTTTTTTTATTATTAATTTTTTTTTATTTTCCAGATTGAAAGAAATGAGTAAAATTTATAATTGCAATTGGCTGGAAGTGCCATGGGGAGATGGAGATTTAGGTATCGTATAATAATGCATAATGTTTTTTTAAACTTCACCTGTTAATGCAGTGAATACGCTTTCTTGTTAATGCTTACAAAGCAATGATACTTTGTAATAGTTTGCCTTCTGGTAAACTATACATCAGAGAACTTGAAACTAATGTGGCTTTTATATACAGATAGAAATACTTCATATTCAGCATTGTCAGGAACAACATTGGTAGGGAATTATTGCATTATCAGTTTTGGAATAGACTATGTTTGCTAATACTGCTATTACAGACATAATGAATGAAATTGTATTTTTTCTAATGCCTTCTAAGTGAGAGACATTGTAATTGGTGGATTAGCAGAAGGCAGTAATCTAGGCAAAGAATTTCAGAACACTTTTGATGTTTATTTATAATACATATTTATATTGGACATATTCTTGTCTCTGTAGTATTGAATGATGAATTACTATCTATATCAACAAATCAGTTGAAATGTGAATTTTCTTTTTCCAAGCTTGGTTGGCACAAAGTGTTTCTGCAACATTTTGCCTTTTGATTTTATGTGTAGTAGACATGATACAAGTATTTTGCATTTAATGGATTTATCAGAAACAGCTGGCTGCTGAATGTCTCTGCCTGAAGATAGGGATATAAGGTGGGTCTAGGTGCAAACCAGAGCTTACAGCAGGATCTGGCATAATTTGATTATCAAATGTCATTGGAGTAATTAGTAGACATTCTTCTGATAAGTCCAACAGAGAAGGAGGTGATAGAAATAAAAGTTGTTGCTTTCACATCATACCTGCATCTTTGTTGTGTTTATACATGGATACAAAAAAGTCTGAAATGTAAATTCAGATTATATTTAATGAGAATAAAAGCTTCATAACCCTTATGATTTTATAAGACATTTTTCAATATAATTAGCTGTCTTTTTTTTTTTTCCTTTCCATTGAGTAGGACAAACTGTCGAGAGAGACATTCTCATCTGCAGAGATAGGGGGACAAATTACCAAAAGCAACCTCTAAACACAGATTTAAAGTTGAGGAATTCTTTGCAGAAGCCAGCAGGAGAACTGAATGGACGTAATTAACTTGAATTAGGACAATTCAAGTGCTCATTCAGATACTACTGCAGAAGAAGGAAAACATCAATCAAAATACTCAAAGTGATTACASATATCCAAACTACAGTAGAATGAATCTATCTGAGCTTATTGGGATGAGGCAGAAAACATTGATGATTTATCAAATTTGGGTCACTTGAAGGTTTCTGAGCTTAAGTTTTTTAATGTATAATAACACTTGAAAACCAAACACTTTGTGTATGGACTTTTTTGGGTTTTAAAAATTATTTATTCCATCAATAAGAATTTCAAAGCATTAAATAAACCTAAAGTAAAAAGTACAGGGAACAAKGTATGTGCATGTGTGTATGCATGCACACACAGGTGACCAGGGCTAAGTGCAAATAATTCTGACAGAATATTGGATGCTGGATCTTGCCAGTGGTCCATCTGCTTCCACACAAGAAGCTTCACACATATGGGATTCTCTGACATAATAAAAATCTCACTGCTTTTTTAAAATCAGGTTTATAAAGCCTTACTCTGGTATTTTTAAACTTCTGTGATCAGCTTTATGTAGTCTTATGGTAATTTAAATAATCATCTCTGCTTTTGATTTGCCACGTTTTGTATCTCAATAGTATTCAGTAGTGCTGAGTCACAAAGTTCTCTGTGTTCTCCAAGATGCAGTCATATGTTTGTAGAGGTTTTAGTCTCATTCACTAACACCAGTAGGAAAATGGAGGTTTTATTTAAATTTTCCTATTGTGCACTATTTCCTATGTTTTCAACTATGCCCTACTTTATTTTTGGGTTGAGCAGCCTTAATCTTTTCATCATTCTTGATGTACTTTGAGGAGGTTGTTTATAGTAAACAAAAGTGCACTTTCTGAAACAGGCTAGCAGACAGAAGGAGCCCAATAGGAAGCAGAAGCAGGGTCTATTTCTGGGGTGTAGTTTTCTTAGGGCTTAGACTGATAATTGCCAGTGATTGAGCAACAGCCTTCTCCTTTGAGATTCATTGCATTGGCAGTAAATGCAGTGGCTGCTCTGTGGGCAGTCCCTGTCCATGGCAAAGTCAAAGCCCTGCACTCATGGAACAGCCATCTGCCAATGTTACCAATTCATTCTAGGCTATTTCTACATTTCTTCAGGAACTTATCAGCTTGATAAAACTCATGCAAGTGATTGTATTAGTATTTTGCAGTTCTAGTGATTTTCTTCTTGCAGGAATAAATACTGATAATTCATAATACATTTTGAAGTTGTTTCTTCCTTGCACAGTCTCTCAAACTGTTTTTTCAAAATTCATACAATAAATCAGCATCAGTTCTGCCTGTAACCTTGACTGGCTAGAAGGGACCTGTCACTGTCATCTTCTAGAGGAAAGTTCCTTCAGCCAGAGCTTCAGGGTATCTGTGGAACCTGAGCTGGGAGTTACAGGGATGTGTGTGCGAAGGCAGGGTTGTTGTTGGGTTAGTGCTTTTTTCACCCTTCTCTTTTGGGGGTGATATATATATGAAAATAAATGCCAAACCTTTCTAAGCATATCTAATTATTTCAAGGCCTAATAGTTTTTGGAATGAGAACTTAGACTTTATATCTTATTTCCACTATGGTAATTTTTTTACTGTGATTCTCACTGTATTTCTCTCCTTGCATTTGCATAGTAGCTTCAAATAAATCTCAGCATACATAAGGATTTCCACATTGATTTTCATATACACTAGCTTCTTTGTGACTTCAGGCTGCTTTACACCTAGTTTGAGTTCAAATAATGCCTATAATGCAGCTACAAAGATTCATTACTTGTGTTAAAAATGAACAATGCAAAAATAGAAGTGGAATATGGTAATTAATTAATTTACTAAATAAGATTACTGATATCAATATCTCAATATTTTGTTCTATCAACCACATTATCATTTATTAGAGATGTTTACAGTTAATAATAGAGCACTTTTTTATTGTTTAGAAATTGATAATTTGAGATACAGTCTCTAAAGAGGAAAAATTATTTTCATAGGATCATTGACTTCATTCTGTGCATCATAGTTTCTGCTTTGCTCCGTGCATTCCAAACTCTTTCTAACTCCTATGGTTTATTCAATGAATGTTGTTATATAGGTTCTTGGGCAGATCGCTCACCTCTGCATGAGGCAGCCAGTCAAGGACGTCTTCTTTCCCTAAAGACTTTATTGTCACAGGTGAAGGCTCTGTTCTTACAATTGCTTTCATTTTTAATGTTATTTAATTTCTTTACATAGATTATTAATGCAGATTTAGTATGCTAAATATTGCTTTTTTCACTTGAATTTTTAAGAGCAATGCACATTTAGGAATTTTTCATATTGTAAGACATAAGCTAGTATTTGAAATATTTCTTCTATAAAAATATAATATTTTAACCTCCCCCCCCAAAAAAAAAAACCCAATCAGCAAACAAAGTTGTGTCTAAATTTATATCAGATTTATGTCAGTCTTCCCCTCTTACATGGTATAAATCAATATAGTTTCACTGCTTTAAGTCCTTGGGTACATAGAGCTAGTCAGGAAGATACCAGTTAACAGGAAGAACCCCTGAAAGATTCTGGCATTTGCAGTTGTCATTAAAAAAAAAAAAAAGTTAATAGCAAAGGGAGAGACTGTAAATGCTAAATTTTTATATTATACAATTGTCCTGTTAGCTATTTCAATATTGAAAAATTATACTATGGAATACATTTGATGAAAGCCAGTAGATAAAATTATTAGTTCTTAAGAATCAAACAACATCTACTGCAAATATTTCAAGGGCTTGGTGACTTTATCAACCCAATAAGTGGGGTTTTTTTGCYAAAATTCATAGCTTTGGCTATTTCAGGCTCTAAGTCAGAGGATCATAGAATCACAGGAGATTTCAAACTCAGGTCTTTGTGGGGTTTTAAAGATCACCAAGAGTGGAAATGCACCATCCTTCCCTCATCTGATTCTGGGTTTCACTGCCCCAGAATTTTTTTCCATATAGCTGCTTAAAATTTGCCATGTTCTGACTTGGGTCTGTGGCCTTTTGCCCCACCACTGTGCATCTCAACAATCTGTTCCCATCTTTTTTATACCCTTCATATCTTATGCCTATTTCTGATTAAAAAAAAAAAAAGAGAGAGCTTTTATTCTTTTATGCACTGATTGAAGATTCTTTCTATGCTCACTGTGGATTTACTTATTGCAAGTTGAGTTTTAAGCCTATTTAGAGTATTCTAAACAATTAATTTGAACATTAGTGTGAAGAAATTACTCTTATTAGGTTTCGTATGATCTTTAAATGTCATTCACAATTTAAATGTCATTCTATTTTAGGGGTACAATGTGGACACGCTAACAATTGACCAAGTAACTCCACTTCATGAAGCCTGCCTGGGAGATCATGTAGGATGTGCAAGAATCCTCCTTGAAGCAGGAGCAAATGTAAGGCTTTGGGTTTGTTTTCCTTTATATAAAGTCCACTGCTGACCTTGGCTTAACTGAGAAGGATATATTCCTTGATTTTAATGTTATTGGTCTCTATTGACCCTATTGGCTGTGTTCATCTCATGTAATGACAACTGCCAGATGAATGCTAGCAAATGAAAGTGATGGGAAGACACTGAGATAGTAATGAGCCGCAGTGAATCTGTTAGCAGTATTAATTGTGATATTTGTCTTCTAAAATATGGAATGCATTCCTCTACTTTACTGGATTCCTCTCAGAGTGGCTTTCAGGAGACTGTTCTTTTAATCTTCAAAATGTTGTCACGTTGCAGCTGTGTGCTCTTAAAATTCTTTGGTCTGAGTAGAAAAAAAAAAGCTGTCTCTTTTCTGTACTCCTGCCAGAAGTCTGACTCCTGGCTGTCTTCTCTTTTATCCCAAAACAAAAATGGGACTTTATAGATCACTTTCGCTGCAATGTCTGCTGACATCAGAGTTCAAGTGCATATCTTCCCAGATCTCTGATGTTTGTAATGGAAATATTTATTGTTCTTAAAATTCAGGTTTGAGAACCATGTAGAATACGTGTGTTACTACAGAAAAAAAAAGATACAGAGATGTTTCCAAAGCCAATTTCTTTCTACTTCAGCTAGCACAAGGATTCTGAAGATAAAAAACTATTGGAAAAATTTCATTTGGAAAATTTCATTTTCCCACTCGACTGGTTTTTAGCATTTCTAGTTGTTTTGGTGGGTTTGGGGAGTACATGAAAGAAGATAGGCCAGAGTCCCAGAAGGAGCCCTTTCCTCATACCTGTGTTCTTTCCTTTAGTAGTATTTGCCATCCCAAAGTTGCCTACTTTGTCTCCTTACTCTAACTGGAAATACTCAGCTGAAGAGGTTGGTATTGAAACAGTGACCCTATGGTGTTAGTTTTGTCTCCATCCTGTGAAGTAACCACACCAACCTAGAGACTAAGACTACAGAAGAAAATGGCCAATAATTCTCACATTTATTATGGAGTTTGCATTCTTACCAGAGCTGCGGAGAGAAGATTCTTTTATCCTGTTACTATGCAAASTGTAAATTTTCTGTATCAAGAAACAAGCTCAATGCCATGAATTTTGGAAGCTATTTACTGTCCAGGTGTCAATATGTGCTCTTCAGTATTCTAGGTGTATTGATCCAACATAGTTTAACAAAAATAATAGTAAACTAATTTCAATGAGAAGCATGGTAAGAGGAAGACAGTAGCACAGGGATTGGTCAGTTAAGTTGTTATTCTACCTACTACAATTTTTTTTTCTATTTTAATGCTATTTCTAACTATTTCCTGTTTAAAAATCTACCTTTCGTTCAATTCTGTTCTTAAATAGATTTGATATATTCTAGGTAAATGCTACAACAATTGATGGAGTGACACCTTTATTTAATGCCTGTTCAAGAGGCAGTGCAGCATGTACTGAGCTCCTGTTACAGTATGGTGCCAAAGCTCAGTGGGAGTCCTGTCTGCCATCACCAACACATGAGGCAGCCAGCAGAGGTAAGAAATTACTTCCTGAATAAACACGGAGTAGTTGAGCAATGTCTCAGTTTCAGGATTAAGAAATATGTGTCATTTTGTCCATGAGACAGCATACTGAAGTCAAGCAAACGGTCATGCTTTCTACTGACAGGTCATAGTGAATGTCTGGAGGTCCTGATATCCTGGGGTATAGATGTTGACCAAGATCTTCCTCATTTAGGAACACCTCTGTATGTAGCTTGTGTTTCACAGCAGATCCATTGTATTCGAAAGCTTCTTTATGCAGGTATGTCATGATTAAATAAAAATATTACTGGTCGGTAAAATATGCATATTGTACTCTCCTTTGAAGCCAGCTGAGTCAATTGAACTGGAACCCTTGCTTGCAGGGCTCTACTTCAAAATTTATGCTGATTTATGTTTTCTTAAAGTAATTTCTTTAAATTAAATTTCTTTTCTTTAAATAATGTATCTTTTATTTTTTGGTACCATAATAAGCATATGAGGAAAAGAAAGAAGCAAGACCAGTGAGAATGAACATTCACAATTTTTTGCATCTACTGCAGCTTTATAGATATTCATTTTCTGTAGGAAAAACAGGGGTAAAAAATCAGCTTTAAGCACTTTCATATAATAATCATTGAGATTTCAATGGAACTATTTTAGCAATGTAGTCCCACTCGCTTTCATTCTTAAGCACGTTCTGATTATCTTTTTCATGAGGCATAGAGGCTGAGTTGCAGAAGGAAGAGGTGAGATAAAAGGCATGTGATCCTTAATTTTGGGATACTTTTTAATCAACAGCAAGAGATGTTGAAGACTTGCTCTATTTCAGCACATGTCCAGGGTCACCACTGGCATGGGTAAAAGACAATTTGCAGTGTTTCAGGAATGCATTGAAATGCATATATGAATAATTCAGCCTTGCTATCATTGCACCAGAATATTTTTCTAGTTGATTGCATGCTGTATTTAGAACTTAAACAAGCAGCTAAAGTGTTTCTCATTGAGTCTATCTCCTTGGATGATTAATTATCATATGTCATGATTTTTTATGTTTAAGAACAGCAAAAGCATAATTAGCATATTTTGGGATTCAAATACTACCATACAGAAAAAGCAGTAACAGAAGGGCATAGTCTACATTTCTTGGTGCCCTGAAGTAGAAAAGGATATGTAAATTGAGAATGTAAGTAACTACTAATGTAAATACAATTTTTTTCATATTTTATCAGTTTTGAGAATGTATTAGAAGCTGAAAAGCAGCTAGACAATGAAATAAGCAAGAGAATGGCACTGCAGAAGCATGAACAAATTGTAAATACTGAGAAAAGTGAATTATTCAGATTTCAGTTCTAATTGCTAGACTTGTGACATTATTAAATTGTTTTTACTCAAAGGGGCATTTAAAATGCAAAAAGTGTTGATTCGGGGAGTAAAGTTGGTACAGAAGGCAATTTTTGATCTCAAAAGGTCATTAAGAAGTCTGAAGAAGGCTGGGTTTGAGATGAGCCTACAGCTTCTCTGTGAGGGAAATTCTTCCATACCAGCTAGTTTAGTTTAACTCTTATAGGGATATTTTCTTGAATATGAATGCATTACTGCAAATTAATTTTGTCCATTTTATTTTAAAATACGGTAACAATTCCCTATTAATATAAAAGTATAATAATTAGAACCCATGGATTGGAAGAATTTATGGTTTGGGTTTTTTTCCCCTATTAGCTTTCTTGACTGTGCATCTTACCTTAATTAAAATTAATTTATAGATAAATAAATAAGGGTTGGATGGGATGAGAGTCAATTTCAAACCCTTTGCCAGCTTCAATATGTGAAAAACTATAAGATGTCTAAGATTCCTTCTTGAGTTGGTGTACTCCCAAAAATATACATACAAAACTTCAGTTTAGTGATTTTTTTAACACTTAAATAGGTATAGTTTTTATGCGGTGCAAATTTTCTTAAATGTGTGCAAAAAGTGCTTTTTTATAATAGGCAACAATGATCCTCATGTTACCTGATTGGATTTTTCCTTTTATCTGGTTGTAGTTAGGTAAAAAAACCTAGGATATAAAAAAAAAACCCTTAAAACACTGAGGCGATTAGTTGTAGTTCTGCACAATAAAATAATTCAGTGACTAAATGTACTGTTGTATTCCAGTGGTGTTTTTTTGTTTTGTAGCCTCATCTTTTACTCAATTTAATTAATCTCTTCTTACATCTCTTTATGTGCATCTACCCACCAGGTGCCAATGTACAGAAAGGAAAGTATTTGCAAACTCCACTCCATGCAGCTGCCCAGCATTCTAGTACAGAGATTGTAAACTTACTCCTTGAATTTGGGGCAGACATAAATGCAAAAAATTCAGATTTTGAGAGGCCTGTTGATTTATCTGCTCCAAGCAGTTTAGTGGAGAGACTGCTGCTCTTCCACGAAGGTAAGTTTTACATGTTTGTATTTGAAACTGCAACTTGTGTTATTAAAAAATATCAAACCCACCCACAAAACTCCCAAACTCAACAGCCCAAACAACCCATGTTATAAAAGGTAATGCTGTGCTTTATGAAATGAATATATGAGCATTCAGGTAATTTCTAACTATAAACATACTGAGCAATATTCAGTCTCAGGCCATTGATCAAGCAGCATTAGAATTTACACAAGMTGAAAAAGTAGCATCATATGTTTATTGGGTGTTTACACAAGTAGACATGAAAGCTACATTTTTATTGGTTTTTTACAGACCTTGTTAAAAAGAAACAGTTTTTAAATTTCAGGTTAAAAATATACTTCATTTTGGTCAGCTATCATAATATTTAAAAAAAATACATTAAGTGCATAAAAAGCACATTATTTTGATTGTGGACAAAAACCATAAGAAGTTTAATTTTCTAAATTTTCTTTATAAAATTATAAAAACCTGAGAAGTAGGAGACTAAAGAGTCTGGAGTCTCTCAAACCTCTTAAAGGTCTCTCTGTTTTGGAGAGAGAATATTCCAAAGGGAATTGGATTTGTTCAGACTGACCTATGCATAATGTAAAACTGAGCCACAAGAAACTATTTAAATAACCATGGGCATCTCTTTAGAGGTGACTGATTCATGTTTTCCTCCAAAAAACCACTCTGTAGTCTGAATGCTATTAAAAAAGCCCTCTAAAAATTATGTTTTCACAAATTCACCAATACTAGTAGTGTTTTAAAAAGTTACGGCAAAGTAAAAATTTACATGGCATGAAACAGATATAGATTTACAGAGAAAATAGCAATGTTAATTTTTGAAGGAGTGAGATGCAGAGTGATAAAGTCATTATGATGACCTAGTAAGCCCACTAAATATGGTTCACGATCTCGGTGTATTTTGCCTGCTAATGCTTGTTGCAGTGATGCACTGATAGTGCTGCAGCAGGTATCTAACCTGTTCTGTCAATTAAAAAAAAGGAAACAAGCCTGCAGTTTTTAAAGTTATTGACATCAGATATTGTCTGGCAGCTGGGTTTTAATTAAAAAAAAMCTGACCTTGTGTTGCTTTCTTTGTTATTTCCCTAGTATTAAGGTTTAAGCAGTCCCAGTCTTTATCTTTGAGGGCAGACATGCAATGGGACATGAAATGGAAAAGGGAATGAAGAAAAAGGTCAAATTTGCAAAATGTAAACTTATTTTTGGGTTTTTTTTTTTAGAAATCTTATCATTGTGCATGAGTGTTTAAAATGAAGTGTTGGCTTTTACAGTTGTACAATTAAACTCCTTTCTTTATGGTTTGCAGCCACACCATCTTCTCTTTGTCAGCTCTGCCGACTAYGTATCCGAAATTACATAGGAAGAACTAGACTGCACCTTGTTCCACAACTCCAGTTGCCAACAATACTTAAGAATTTCTTACAGTACAGATAACACGATAATTGTGAAAAACTTAAACATAGCAAGTACTTTTTCTTCTGTTTATTGTTTTATCTAAAGAACTGCTGAGCAGAATAAAAAAGCCTTTTGCATATTGCTTAAAAGAATTGTATCTTTGACACTTAGTGTTTGTAATGTAATAGTAATTGGGAGCCATTCAGCAACTAGTGCCAAGGTGCCAATCCAGCTGAATTGAATGTGTGCTGATACTCTGGGACATGATTTATCTTAACTGTTACTCAATAGCTTTAGTACTGTTAACTTTAATTGTGCTTATGTTTTTAAATTCTGTTTGAATCACCTGAACCACAAAGAGTTTCTTCATTGTTATTTGTTAAATTTGTCCATTTGGAATCAGTGTGTTTTTAAATTTCTGTTGTTCATGTACCTAAAAATACTTGGTCATGAGTGCACTATATACATTGATAAAAATAAAACAAATAAATGTCACTTCTTTCTCCTTTTCTTTATATAGAAAATTCATTAATCACAGTGAGAAACCTCCTTTACTCTTCCTCACTGCCTTTGCTGTGAATTGTAATTAAACTGGTGTGAATATAAAAAAATTGAGGTTATAGAATTCTGGTTATTGTACAATTAGCAACTTTAAAAATTCCAGAGGAATATTTATCAAAAGCCTTAATGCTGAGATACTTTTGATCTCTTGTAAAACAGAATTACATTGGCACTTTCCTTATCTTTTTGCAACAATGGTGTATAACAAGCATTTAATGGCCATAATCAATAGTTATTTGCCTCAGAGAAAGACATATTTTAATGTCTGGTATCTGTGAAGTTTCTAAAGGCATATCGTGGAGATGTGGATACTGAATCTTCAAGCTCAGGTTCAGGAGGTGAATGCAAGGTTTCAAAAATACTTCAGTTTTCTGTACTGGGATAGGTATAGCCCTTGGAAGGACATTACTTCTCTTTCTGACTGTTTTGTAAACAATTACCCAGCTCCAAAAATCCTGTTGCAAAATCCCAGAATACTCTAGCTGGCATTTTGGTCAAAAGTTGGAATTGTTCAACTCTAGCCAGAGAAGGAATGATGACACCCCCAAGAGACATTAGAAAACCCTAAGGCCTTGCTCATGCCCTTGCATTTTGATGATTGTGATCTTACTGCATTTTCATGTAGTAAGATCACAATCATCATTTCCCTCTTCTCATTTGGTAGTCACCTTCCTTGTAGTCACCTTCTCAGTGACTGATACTCAATTCCTGCAAACCAAAGCATGGAACATCTGAAAACTTGCCTTTTGCCCTTTGTGATTCACCCTCTTCCATTCATTTTCGGTGACTCCTTTCAGTATTTATGCTTCTACTGGAAAGATGCTAAGTGCTAACTATAGAGGAAGTTTTTTACMAAGAGGAATGCTTACTCGGTCACTAAATTATATGCACCTAATAAAAAAATGCAGCTGTCTCGACACCGTGTTAAATAGCTTTATTTGCTTCTGTTCCCTGCAAAAACTCTAGTTAGGGATCTTTTCTGGAGTTCAAAGGAAAGTCAGATATAAATATGAGGAGCTGCTTGGAGTCCATCATATCCTGAGTCTGTACTGGAACGAGTCTGGTGGTTTTGGTTTTCATGCAGAAATTGGTGGTTTGTGTTTTTAGGTACAACACCATTACTGTGCATTACTTGACAAATTTTGAACTGCCAAGCCAACCATGGCACTGTTGAACTTCTTCACATAGAACGAACTCATTTAGATCCTCCCCTTCAGGTGTACACATTGCTTTTCAAGTTTGATTCAGACAAAGTGGCAGAAAAAGCTCTCATGTTCTATATACCTCTGCCAGTTTGGAGCCAACATGGCTGTTTTGCAAAACACCTGTTCAGAACACAACTAGTTAATGTTACAAGCTTTCCTGAGAGTCACATCAGAGTCCAAGCCATCTCATTGCAAATACGTGTGTGTTCATGCTCTTATGGCATTCACAATATCTACTGCCACCATTCTCCCTGACCCCTGCCACCATCCAAAGTGCAAACAAGACCATCTTTGTAGTTTACAGGTATTTCGTACTATTTTTTCTGCAATTATACAGCATCTGAGACTAGTCGGAAGAAAGTGGCTAATGGGTAATACCATTATTTTGATCTCAGGCAGGAGGCACTTTTCAACGTAAACTTCAATCTTTTGCTAACAGATTATTATGTAAGAATTGAGCTCATTTTGGCAACTCAGCCAAGTTGGATGGGACATTGCTTCTGTTACTATGTAACAGGGACAAACAAAAAGGGAATGGATGTGGTTGGCCTGGCAGGATTATGCGTGGGAACAGGCCTCTGGCAGATCAGAGCGTGCTATAGCCACATACCAAAAACACAGAGCAATAAAATGCCTGGTGTTAGTGCTTGGTAAAAAGCCTTCTAAAAATGATCCCTTGTTTAGCCAGAAATGAAAGGAAGCAAGTTTGTTACTGTTCTCATGCTGTGAGGGCCCTATTCCAACATGGCTTAGATCGGTTGAATTCTTAGCATGAAATAAAAGTTAAGTAATATATTAAATTATTAGGAACCAGGATCTGAAGCAAACATTGACCCAGGTCAGAGCACTGTTAAAGACTATTACAGTAAAGCTCTTTAAGATGAATTGTTATACCAGCAAAAAGTATTCTAAGGCATTTTGAGGAAAAAAAAGGAGTGTAATATGTCAATTCTGGAAAGAAATCCAACAGTGAAATCCTGTAGGCTTGATGAAAGAGTTCCAGAGAGCCACAGGAGTACTGTGCTGGTGGGCTGAGAAAACACGTGGAATACAAGGTACTCCGTGTGTTTCTCCTGGGCCTGTCCCAGGATGGTGGGTGCTGCTGGGCTCCGGCCACGGCCAGCGCAGCACCACTGGCCCAGCCCGGCAGGAGCCCCATGCAGGGTGTAACAAACGGGGTATCATTGAAGTCCAACAACATGGATTTAAAGTGCCAAATCTCGCATCTCAGACTGCAGCTACCAGTGAAGCTGTCTGTGAAGCTTGTAAACATGCCAGTACTGTTGGACAGATTATTTCCATAGAACAATGGATTTGGTGTCACAGGGATAAAGTGATATTAAACTTAATTGAAATTTAATAGGAAYTGGAAAGCACTAGCTGTGTAGCTTGATAGTTTCTTCATTCAAATGGGAATACAACTTTTACAGAGGAGTCAAACATTCTTTTCAAGACAAAGTATTCTTTAATATGAAGGGGAGATATCTGTATTTGACTTGCTGTACTAGACAACGAAGTTACATATAAGCAACCTGAAATTATTTTTGAAAATGATGAACCAGCTGACAGTTGCAACCCCAGCTGTAACAGCAGACACTATTACAACCTTTTCTGCATATTCCCATCACTCACCACTGTCCAAACAACTTTTATGAAAATACAACTTCGTGTTATTCACAATGACTGTTACGTGATGGATCCCTAATATAAAAAATGCCCTTTGACTTAATTTTTGTATTTTAGTAATGAAACCCTCTTAACCCTCACTCGGTGATTTAAAGAGGGAGTAGATTTGCCCAAGATTCCAAGTGAACGCCCAATTTGATGCAGTTATACTACATATTGTAACAGATTTTAACTGTGAAATATTGGTAAAATCCTTATGATACAGCAAAAGCTTTTAAATGTAGTAGAATGACAGCTGAGTCAATGCTTCAGATCCCATCATCACTCATGGGGCTGAATGTTCAGTTGTTACCTTTGCTCTACACCTCTGCATCCACAACTTTAAATACCAGGTTTTAAAATTTATGCATTAAAAGGCAGATATTCTTCAATTTGACAGAAGCAAAATAAGATATTGACTGATGGAAAACTCTTTCAGACTATGAATTTTAACTTCTGAAACTAAATTCTTCTTCTGCAAACTCCATGGAGTTAAACAGAGAAAAAACATTTTCCAAGAATACCTGCAGAAAGTAAAGCATTCGGATCGGTACAAAGATGGGGAAAACAGCTAAGTGTTCCCTCCACCCAAGATATTCTTACATCAGAAACCCTGTAATAATACGCTAGAATGCTGCCAAATTGAAATGTCACCTTTTTAAAGAGGGAGGAAAAACACAACCCAGGATTTTTTTTATTTGTAATCTCCATCCCACCTTTCCAGCAGGATAGCATTGTCATTTCTATAGCTGAATGAGGGCATGGCTTACCTCTGTATTGAGGATTCTTTCATAGGCTGTGCGAAATAGCAACCTGATACTATTTCCAGTCTCACAACAGTTTCTGTAGAAATAATTCTGCCTAGTTTTAATTGCAACCTCTTTACATTTCATGTAACTATCAGGAATTTAAATTAATTTTAAAATTCATTCTAAAGCAGCAGGAAAAAATGTAAGTGCAGATAAAGTAGATTTCTGCTTATATGCCATCAATTGAGCTAATAAAGAGTATTGAAACCATCTTTTCTACAGGTGAGCAATTCTAAGACTTATTAGTAAGAATAGTAAGTATAATATTTGTCTTATAATTACATTCCATACTATATACAGCTTTAAGGTTTAAATATTTTTAGCATTCTATTGCCACAACTGTTTTTCCATTTTAGAACAGACTTAGTAAATAAAAATATATATGCACATGTATTTACTTCTAATCTGCCATACTATATGTATGTTTAAAACTAATACAAAATGTAAAAAGAAAACAAGCATTTTAAATGTACATAGCATAGTTAAATAATTTCAATAATTTTTCTGTTTGTTCCTTACAAAGCCTTTGTTAAAAAAAAAATTATAAAGAGATTTAGCCTCCCATGAAAGTATAAGGGGGAAAGTTGCTAAAGATGATCCTAGTAGAAAATAGAACTTTGTAATCTAGATAATCTAAATAATATACAATAAATAGATAATCGAAACAAAACRTAAGTGAACCGCTATTTGTACTGCTGTTAAAGCACAATAATGAGTGGATAAAAAAAACCTATTCTTTAAATTTTACTTCTGCAATAGAACCCTGTGTGTAAAAATTAGTTCAAATTAAAAAGGTGGACACAATGTGTGAAAGAGCCACAGTATTTCAGTCATTCTAAAAGCAGTTTGCAGTTACTATCAATAAAGTCATTTTATTATATATTTGGAAGTGTGTTTATTGATTTCACAGTTTGTTATCAATATTTTAGTAATGTGCAGATACTTGCTTACTTTACAAGGCATCTATTCACACAGAGTTGACTAAAATAATTGTCTGATGACAATACTCTTATTAAAAAAAGGCATGGCTATATATGAAACTAGGACTTTCTTTGGGTTATCAAATAACCTTTTTCTTTGGGTTCTCAACAAGCATTTGTATAGAAATCCTTTTGTTCTCATTATATAAATTTCAAGGTTCAAGTAACTGGCCTTCAGGAGTAATCAACTACCACCTTTCTGTCCTTTGACAATCAAACTTAAATCAACATTAAGCCCCAGAGTGTTATTTTAAGCACTATAAAGTACAGAGGAAACACCTCATCAAAATGGATTAAGTCGTATTCCTGTTCCTAGTGGTGAAAAAGGATTCACTTTGGCCCACATCAAAGCATCATTCAGTGAAATAGCAGATTTTCCATCTTCAAGAAAGAACACAGGACCCTGTAAAGTAAAGATGTTTGGAGAGGGAAAAATAAAGAAATTACACATGCATTGTGTAAAGGCCACCACAACAGAAAGCACATTTAATCTGAGAAGAACAGAAAAACCTTATTTAGACCTACCATCTATGTTCAGGCAAAAATTTTACCCCACCAACTTAAAATTTTGATAACAGCTACACATTATGAATTGAGTGAACTTGCTGTGTTCCCAAATCTGTCAACCTAATGTTTTCTAATATTTAATTTATAGTTTAATGTATTTTATTGTTATTTTATTGTCAATTATTCCAGAGTTAAATTTAGCCTCATTTAGAAATTGAGGTAACAAGCATTTTTCTTCAGAATATTGTCCATATTTCATGTCTGTCATTATCTCTGTTGATCTGTGCTTTTTCCTATCCACAAAAAAACTCCCAATATAATGCCTCCATGAATCATTTGAAAACAGAGTCTACATGGAGTCTACAGAATAATTTGAAATAATCACTGTGGAAAGGAAAAAATACCCATTTATCTGATGGAAAAGGAGCTATTTACTAATTTACTAATTGGACAAAATCTGGTCTCAAACTTGCCATTCAGTTTAAATGCTTTCTTAAAGAGATATGCTCTCCAAACTTGCTACATAAAACTTGTAAACACATACAAGTAGGCTGCTCTACCTTAGTATTAACTAATTTTGATTTCTAAGCTGATCTGCATGCTTAAAGCCATGACTCCTAACATACGCTAATCCAGAAATAAGGATCCTGTAGATGACAAGATGGTGACACCATATTTACTATTCTTGTTGAATAGATTGTAACAGTGGCAGCTTCACATGGTTGTTAGCAAATGTTGAGAGTACACTCATAGACAGAAGCCACTGATCTAATGTGGAAGTGTTGACAGGAAGTTTTTTAGATTGATGGAGTGCAGTTGTGAATTTTGTTTACTTCAAAAATCACACTAGCTTTTTGTAATCCCCAATTTTTGTCACAAAACTATCGGTCTAAACCACCCTGTTACTCTTTGGGCTGACATTTTGCACTGGACTGGAGAAACAGACCTGGCATTGCCTAGGAGAGTAAATTCACACTAAAGCACTACCTGGAGTCAGGAGCAGTGTTTTCAGAACCTTTCAATTTCCTCTTTATTGAAATAACAACATATACTAATGAGATGTTACAAGTACTAATAGGTTTTAATCATAAACCTCTATGTGAGTGATGAATAAATATATTTGAATATTTAGTCTTCTAATATCTGGATTTAATTAGCCATGAATTCTGAGTTTTATAGTATGAATTTCCCTAATGATAAAAACCAAAACCAGAAAAATTTTAGTATGTAGTTGAAGACAAATGATTTCCTGGCTTTTATTCAGGAGAAGAAGTAGYGAATAAGATCCGTGCACTTTACACACAACATTTAGCAAAGGAAATCTGTCTTTCACACAGAAATTAAAAAGTTTTGGATTTGGGAAAGGACTACTATTTGACTGGACAATTCTTTTTATATCCTTTCTTACATAGCACATGTCATGGCCTGTCATCTTTTAACTCGGCTAACTGTGATAACAGGATAAACGTTTTTCATGCCAAATCATAGGAGGCACCTTAGATTTATGGCAACCTCAGAAGTAGTCACTGCTATCAGCAAGAAAGAACACTGCAGGTCTCTGAAACCGTACCTGTATCTTTAGCCCTGTCAAACAAGAGATATGAACATCTGAATGACTAGGAAGATTTGATCCAGTGACACAGTCTGGCCCAACCATTCCTTTCAGAGGCTCCTCCTGAATTCGTGATACGAGTACTGAATACAGCGCTTTCTGCGATTCAGAGGGCGGGGTGCATGGCAACTCATCTGTAGGCCTAAGAACATACAAGAAATTTGTTTTTCCAACTTTGTTTCTCAATTTGTGATAGAAATTAAGAGCCATAAAGCAGTGACATTCAGATTTTACAAAGGTAATAATTTTACAATTAAACAGTTAAATACTACTAGTATCATGGTAATTTTACATTTGTCCACCTACTTGTTTGATTGTGTGCAAGCTCTCCACGCATCTAATTCCTCAGAAAGCTGTTCAATTTTCAGGGGTACTGATACTTCCCGTCTTTTTAAAAGCTGACTGGAAAGGAATGCAAATAATTAAAATCCAAATTAATCCCAAAAATGACTATTTTCTTAGAAGAAAACCATCATTGACTGTAACAAAGTAAAACTACTTCTTACTGGATATGGAATAACTATGGAAATAAATTGATCCTTCACAATCTACTATATGAAACCTTAGTAATACTCATACCAGATATAAAAGTATAGCTTTTGATTTAAATTTTATTTATCCCTATTTACACCTTATTTAGTTCACTCTATTTTTTTTAATTTGAGATAATTTGGTATTTTAAGGCTATATGTATTTTTATTTCTTAATAATGTCAACTTTACTAAAATTAAGGATCCATTTTGCTTGCCTATATATACTACATATGGTAAAAATGCATTTAGAGAAACCTCAGTTTAACACATGCTTTGAGGCAACCTTGTTTCACTTGCAGAAAATAGTTTCAAAGCCCTTGCAGTGGACGCATTTTTTATTTCTCAAAATATAATTTAAGGGGCAGTTACCACTTGATCTAATTCAGCCACCTTTCATTTGTGTTGGGATACCTTACAAATGCCCTGCTTAAGCATGTAAATCGTCCACCTTAAGCATGTAAGTGTCCAGTTTAAGATGGGCTACAATCTAAAAATCTGTGAGTCCTGAAGATATTGGGCAATCAAAGAACAAACCTTGAAGCTGTATTGTTCTGTGGTTCTTTATATCCCAAGGTAATTGAAAGCTTTACAGCCAAAAGTATCACAAACTGAGTTGGTTCAAGTTCAAGTGGGGTCAGATGAAATGCACCTAGTGAAATCAAGTGAGTCAGGCTGAATAGGGTCAAGTGAGCTGGGCCAAGCTGCATTGGGCTAGGTCAGGGCAAGTGGGCAAAGTTGGGTCACATGACATAGTTGAGGTCAGGTCAGTCAGGTCAGCTGGGTCAGGCTGGGCTGATAGAAGTCAATCAGGTTTAGCCAGGTCAAGTCTAGTCAGCTGACTGGCTGGGGCTGAGCTGGGCAGAAGAAGGCTGAATGGCCAGGTTACATCAAGTGGGCTGGAAGTCATTAGTGTCTGGGAATATTAGCTGATTATTCATTAATGTCTGGGAACATTAGGTCACTGAATAACGGAAGGTCAAAGTGGATTTCTTGGTGAGAATCAAGCTAGTGCCCAGTCACAGACTCTAAACCCAAAGCTACTCCTTGCTGGTACCGGCAAGTCTTGTATCTACAGGTAGATACAAATTAGAAGTGTTACTGTCATAATATAGTCACAGGCAGGTAATGCTGAATACTCATCTACTTCAATAAATTATTTTTCTCACAGAACTAGGAGTTTGACGGATATCCAGTTTCACAACTTGTTGAATTGCCTCAGAAACTTCTAAATGCATCATGCATAAAAAAAGTAAAGGAACTTGCACATGCAAGTTAATAATACAACTTAATAATAGAACTCGGAACTCAGTTTTTGTTCTAATATTTGGGAGGACATGTGCAGAAGTGGTACATGTCATGATAAGAACTGAGATTATTCAGCTTTAATGAAAACATAGTATTACCTTGTGTACTCATACAGTGCAGGTACAATGCTATTGTACTGTCTTCTGATAGCAAGTAAAGCACCAATGTAACCACACAAAATCAGCAACTCATTCCGAAATCTGTAAACAAGTATCAATCATGACACTGATACTGTGAACAAGTATCAATCATGACAAACAACAAGCATTTGCAAAAACATCAAACAAACTCATGTTCACAGTATAATTTTAAATCCTTATTTATCCATCGACTTTTATGGAGAATACATGTTTGCTGTTTATGCTTACTTTCTGTGTCATGGAATTGTTAAAACAGACTCATCTGCTTCACATTGATCTCCTTTATTAAATTTTAAATGGCACCTACAACACAATTTTTAAGCCAAATCATGTAAAGTTACAATAGCACCACCACTCAGACCTTTTAATATGATAGAACTATAAATGTAAATAAAATTGTCCCAAATATTAGTGTGGATTTCAGTTTCACCAAGTTTCCCCAACTTTTTTCTCCGTTTCATTCTTCACACCTCTGCCTAGCTTCAACCATTCATCATAAAGGTGARCCAGAGCTATCCAACTATTTTAGAGTTAATTCTGAGAGTGCAGCCCAACTCTCCTTAACATTTTGACATAAAAGCCCACATTATTTGTGACACCACTTCAGGAAACTGAAACCAGAGCATATTTGCTGAAATTTTTTTTGTATCCGTCTTCTGGTAAATTAAAAAAATGATACTAACAGGGTGCACCTATATATACACTCCAAAAGTTTCCTTTCATTAAGTTCCACTTTTCTAAGTCAGGAAAATATACTCACTCATTACATTTAGGCAACATTAACTGTTCAGTCCGTATGTAACTCAGAAGATCAAGATATGGAAAGACTGAATCTAAAGTCCAGTCTGAGACACAAAGTTGTTCTGTTGAAGAATAGAAAAATATCCCATGAGAAAAGTTATACAAATGACTTATGCTTTGAAAGGGCTCTTCATCCAAGTACCTACCTTTCACATAATGAATGCCAATGGGGAGAGCCTTGTCAGGTTCTGTGCTTAACAGATAGTATTTTATTGTTTCAAATACATCCCCATCTGCCTCAATTGTCTCTGCCAGTCGCATACATTCTTCCACATCAGGAAGATTACACTGGAAAACAACATTTTGCCAGAAAATTATTGATTCAAACACTTATCTAAGATGCAGAGCAATACTGATTGCACATAACAAGTAGAAAAAATTCTCTCTGAAGGAGTCATTGTTGGAAAGACATACCTGCATATAATGTGCATTAAAAAAGCCATCTAGACCAGAGAACAACACTGAGTTTCTGTAACTTTACTTTAAGCAGTACCAGTTTTCATTGCTAATGTTTCTGTGAAGCTTTTACTACTGTTTAATAAATGTGCAGTCTGAATTGCACGTTAAAGGATTTATCAGAGCAGACCCTTCTGATGCTGAAGAGAAAAGGGGGAATTTAAGGACATTACAAACATAAGATATAAAACAATTCAGACTTGTATAGAAAGTTGATCTGCCAAAACATGATTAGGCTGCACATCTAGTAGGTTATAAATCATACTGACAGGTAATTCTAAAGGTCATAAGCTACCTCAGAAAGTAACCTGTGTCAGGGAAAGACTACACAAAGATAAGAAATAAAGAACTAAATTTATTGTACAATACTGAAAATAAATTAAGATGAACAGAGCTGAAAAGGATATGTTACATATAAAACTGTAGAGGCAAATTAATTCTGTGGTTTATTTGGCCTTATGTTTTTTGAAATTAGTAAGTAAATCAATATAAAACCTTATTAGCATTCAGGTAAATTCTTTTATGTTGTACCTTTTTATGCAGGTCATTTATTTCTGGTATGCATCCAGGATAAAAAGCACATAGTTTTGCTAACTGCAGTTTATTATCAGGAATCATCATAAGAAGATCAACTGCTAAATCCCTGCACAAACAAAAGATGACATGTAGTTATTCTTGATGGTTTGTAATAAAAGGAAACTATTTTCTCTTTCACATTCCTTTTATAATAAGGAGTTTACTGAAAAAAACCAAAACTATTTCCAGAGAAGTGCAGAAGCAACCTCAGTCTCTAAGAGTATTTTTTTTTCAATAAATGAGGCTTAATTATTCATCTTTTTGGCCAAGTCAGTCATTAATTTTCTGTTGCTTTAGTTGGTTATATTAAACAGCTGTGCAATTTTTAAGCATCAGAACAATGGGAGAGTAGGAACCATCAAATTTGAGAGAAGGAAGATCATAATGTGATTCTGTGTCATGAAACCATCCTCAAAATTCCAGGCTTCTAAAGCTTCTTGACATCAACGTAAGGCATCTTCAGTCACCCAGAATGGCTTGATGTTCATGTGATATAGAAATAGATTACACAAGAAAAGAAAGTGACATCTGTTTTAATTTCCTTCTCAAAGGAAAACTGTTTTAGCAAATTGACATCTATGRTATTTTCCTAAACTTTTTACCATTTGTTACCCTATCCTTCACACAACAAACAGCTGAAGGGAAAGTGTAATATTACAAAATGATCTGTAAATAGTTCTATTTAATTTTAATAACTGGTTACTCTGGTTGTTCTGTAACTCTTTTTAATGCAGACATCATTTCTCCTGACTTGTCCCTATGTAAGGCAAAAAATCCTACTGATTTCCTCTGCATTTTCAGAATGCCGTCCTTAGCTTAAAAATATTCAGATAAGCTAATACCCAATATTTGCAAATGCTTTCTATCCCACTTCCAAGTACAAATCACACTTAAAAATTAGAACACTTAGAGAGTTTAGTAAAGTGTTTGACTTTATTAAGTGAAACAATAAGCTTAAACCTTCTCTAAAAAAGCAAAATACCTGTATCCAAGTGATGGGAAGCTAAAAGGAAGACATTGAAACAGTATTGAACAAATTTTCGCATTACTTTACAGAGAAAACATCTGACAGAAAATAATTAAACTACAACAGCAAATATGGGGATCAGGGCAACTGAATTCAACAAAAACAAAGAAAAGCCTTTCTATTTTATGCCTTTTGAAAATCTAAAGAAACCAATGACAGAAGTTCTTTAGAAAATCTATGATAATATTACAATGCAATAGCCACTTTTCCAAGTTACAGAAGCACTCTTTCAGAATCTAGGATATTTCACAAGTTCTTAAACTTTTTTTAAGATCACTTACTCATATGCATTAATCTTCATAAGCAATTTAAACAATGATTAGAAATTGTTTTGTCAAAAAATGGAATATTCCTTTAAAAATAAATAATTCTAAGAAGCCCTCATATAATGGCCCACAAATTGTGTTATCTGGAATGATTTTTAAGAATCAAACTGAAAACACTGTCAAGTATAAAGATCAAAATGAGTTGGCTGAGTTTACATATGAAGAATTCAGTGTCTCAAGTAAAATATGACTAGTCTTTTGAAWAGCAGAAAGTTGCTTTTAACAGTATCTAGGTGTTAAATGGGTGTCCTTAAACACTCACGCATTTTCTCAAGGCTGAAGATTTGGGAAAGTGCATGAATGTTTAGTTTTGACTTAATTTTATTTTTCAGAGGATTTCTAAAAACAACCAACCAAAACCCAAGAAACATTCCACCAGTAACTGATTTCTTTATTAAACTATCAGGGTCCTTTTGGTAGTCCTTTTGCTGTCTACAGTTAAGTGCTTCTCCACAGTGAAATGTTTCTAACTAATGGATGTCCGTAAGCATAACAACCAGTAAAAACAAAAAGGGAGCCTTTCAATATCATAGACCCTTGAATTCCAGCTTCCTAATACATGATCTTATGAATGCAGCGAACCAAGAGAATCTATTACAAAACAAAGAGATTAATGAATCTCTCATCTTTTCCTACAGACTGTAAAAAATATGCTGTAACGGCTGAAAATCAGAATTCAGGATTGCAGGGTGTTCAGTAGAGCACGTAAAACCCACTGACAAATCCAGATGTACACTTGGGCAATATGCAGCACTTTAAAATTTTATCATGTATTCATTCCCATGTAGACTTCAGTGTACACATGCCAAGCTTAATGTACCTACACATAAATGCCATACTATTATGAACACTTATTACAGCCCTGAGATCAAAACAAGCTTTTGTTATGCTGCAAAAAATGGAAACTGGAAAAAATACACACTGTTCACTTAAATCCACATCCAGTGTTTTCTAYTGGAGGCTACATAAAAAATACCCTTCACAATGAAGGCATGCAGATCAAAGAAGGAACTTCAGACACTTCAAAAGCTGCAGATGGAGTTGCCAAGATGACCCTATTAAGACTGGTGCAATGCAGACATGCTAAACCATTGCAAAATGAAAGCAGCAAGTCACCAATTTCTTATTTTATCTTTTTCTACAACATTTCACTGTCTAAGGCAGGCTAAATGTTCTGTAGAGAGGAGTCACAATGTGTCTCCCAGGCTGCATCTAGTTATATTAGAAAATACTAACTGTAGAAAAAAAACCTGATCCTTAACTGCTTAAGTATACATCTTCTCTGAAATGTTAATTATGAAATAGCTATGTAACTGCCAAATACATCTTAGGAAGGTTTTCTTCTTTTTCATTGGTAGATAAAAAACAAGAAGTTGTATTCTTCAAAGTAAAACCACTATAATGAGAAGAATTTACCACAGAAGGTTTCCCTCATATGCAAGAGAGAAATTACTTCTGCAGAATTAAATAGTAATCCTGTTTCATCCTTAAAGCTTTTCAGCAGACTTGTATTTCTAATGCCAACAGAAAGCAATTCCTCAGACTCTTAGTTTTATGTTTTTGAATCAAAAACTCAATTTATAGATTCTACTCAAGCTACTGTTCCTTTTGACTTTTTAACTCAATTCCAGCCTTACTTTGAAGCAGTTCTTTTTACTCAGTACAAATTAGAACTCCAGATGCAACCTACTGCCCAAGTAGCAAGGTTATTTTTTCAGGGGGTTTCATACTCTGACAATGACTCTTCTTTCATTTACAATGCATACAAAACATATTTTGAGATTAAAGCAGAAAATTTGCATGCCCTGTACTTCAAAGGTCTAATATAGCAATTCTTATTCAAGCAGCAATTTTTATTCTCCCTACCCATGGTGGTTTGATCTCTACAAAAGTTTCACAATGACACATCTTGATTGTTTTGTCAGGGAGGAATAAAAGATCTTTGGATTAAGAAATTCTTACCATGTTATTACTGCCATACATTTTCTTGCTAGTAATTCTAGGGCATAATATGTTGCTGGTGCTGCACTTTCTCCTAAGACAGTACCCACACTGATTGCCAACTCCAGTTCATTTCCACGAATCAGGTTTGTCATCGCAAGCTTGCTCAATGAAAAAATTATAATATTAAGGGACATAAGCATTTTTGGGCATTCACTATGTTGAGCATATGACATTCACTTATGAGACTTTTTACTAAACGACAAAATATGAAATAATTAAACTCAAGTATACATAATTTGGGTCCCTTGTATGAGTACATAATTGTGCACCATGTGTTAATCAGTTTTTAAATAACCAAATAGATTTCCTTTAGCAGAACCTTCCTTTATTCAACYGAAGAGATTACATAAATATGATACCTAAAATGGATTATAGGAATTCTATCTAATCTTAAGGACACTAGCATTCAGAGTGCATATTTCCCACCTCTTTTGATAAAAAGAGACTCAAACCTCAAGAAAACAGAAAGGATTGTCCTGTTCTTGCTCTCTCTGAGCGACCAGAGTTACTGATAGGCATAGCAGACTGCCAAGCACTAAGAGACTACACAACAAATTTAAATAAACCTATTTAGAAATACAGGCATTAACTGATTCTCAATTTCTCTCTGAACAGCTCATTAAGATGGAATAATACTTATTTGGGGGGATAGAGGAGGGAAAACATGTTAAGTCAGCAATAACAAAATCCAGAGAGAATGAGGAAAAGAAACCATTTGTAAAACCACAAACAAAATTAAAAATCTAATAAAATGTTTCCTACATGTATGTTCTGGTTTTGTACTGAGAGGTGGGTTTTTTCTTCCTATTTACTTCTTCATTTAGACTGTAAATTCTTCATGGTAGAGATTACATCTTCTGAAGCACAATAATTTTCAATTCTGAATGGGTATTTTCAGTCACCATAAACAGTAACACTAAGATGTAAATGTCCATGGTACTTAAGTATTTTATATTGTCTAATATAACAAGATACTGAACATACAATTCAGCAACAACATGCTACTCTCTGTGCATAAAAGAAATTTTGAGTTTAATCAAATCAAGGGAGTTTTGCTACTAACTTTAATGCTATAAGGATCTAACTGCATAAATATAAACCAATCAAATGCCATGCACCATTTCAAAATGTGATACATAAATTTTAGAACACGTGTGCAGATCCAAAAAGAAAGTCAGTGTTGGCTTTTCCCTTTCTTTGGTTAAAGTAAAAAAGATTACCTCTATATTTTCAACAGCCAGATGACAACATGCTGCAAGCACTGCATGGCCATCCTGAAAATACCAATCTGCTAGTTCTTGGCTGACCTTCTGCAAGAGCCTGCAAGAACAAAACATGAATTCTGCAAGGTCACTTTAATGCTGGAGTTCCTTGGGTCTTAATTTATGTAAAATTTACCACATTTGCTTCTATACCCTAAAAATTGTATATTTGACTCACAGATAATGATACTACTAGCCTGAAAATACAATCTGTTTGAGCTTCACCCACTAGTTACGTTAGTGCATCCTGAGGTGGGCCAGTTTCCCAAAATCCCATACATACATCAGTATGGAAATGTCTCTTCACATTGACAGAAGAAAAAACCAAATATTGGTATAGTCAATCTGTACCTGCAAACTCTGCACCAGTATTTCTCTAATACTCACCAGTATGCTCAAAAATTGCTCATGTAAATTAACTAACTACACAGTCTCTGAACTGCTTTTGTTACTACACCTGTAACTTGATAATGTAATTAAGGTTTTTGAGCGCTGTTCTAAAGAAGGAGAGGTGCATATTTGGGATTTTTTTATGGGCATGGACAAAGAGAATCATAGATCCATAAAATGGCTTGGAATGGAAGGCACCTTAAAAAACATCTTGTTCCAAGCCCCCTGCCATGGGCAGGGACACCTTCCCCTAGACCAGGTCACTTAGAGGCTCATCCAACTTGGCCTTCAACACTTCCAGGGATGGGGCATCACCAGCTTCTCTTGGCAACCTGTGCCAGTGCCTCACCATTCTCACAATAAACAATTTTTTTCCTAATATCTAATCTAAATCTACTCTCTCAGTCTGACTTTTACTGTACATTGTCAGAATCTTCACTGATGACAAACAGCAAAGCTTCAGGAGGAGATTATGTATAACAGGGGATCCCAGATAATGCTAAATCTCACTCTACTTACCAAAAGTTTTAAGTTAATACACTATATATTTAAGTGCATAGGAATGCATCTTAAATATCAAGGGAGTGAAAAGGACATTTATAATACATACTTACAAAAAATCCATTTTGTGCCAGGAGGCACAATAGAGAAATGAACGTAGCATCAGGTAGTAACTCTATTAACTAARTAACAGAAGATGCAATATTTTGTTGAACTCCAAACTGGTGATGCAAAATTAAACCATAACATTTTACCTTCCTTAATGACTTTACACTCCGCACTAAGATGAGGTTTTAGATACAAACTGTAACAACTTACTCATTATAATCATCAGTATTGTTTCCACCATAATCTCCACTTGCTGTGGAGAGTGGCAACACCTGTATATTTCCTTCACAAGCTGCCTGGGAGTGAATAAAAATAAAAAAAATTGATTAGTTAATTCACAATTCAAACTGAAGATAAAATGCAATTTGTCAACAACAATAAAAACAATCTAAGATCTATAAAAATCTTTCTAAAGCTCAGTTATAACAAATAWTTTTTTTTAATGTTTAAATCAATTATTTACTCATAGCTAGATATTAGCCTAGTATTATCTAGCCATACAAGAATTCTACAGAAGCAAGAGACTTCTTCCTTCCTAAGCATTTGTGCAGGATTTTTCAGTATTGGGATGCACTTAAAATGGATAGTGAATGACACAACCTTGATTTTTACACCCCAAGGAACAAGCAGATCTGCTGGAAGGTTGAAATCCAAACATAATTTTCTGCAGGTATACCAGCAAACCTGGAAAGGTTTGGCATACAGTGGCTTAAGGTATCTGGCAATAATTTATTATTAACATTAAATACAAAGAGATCAGTGTGGGTTAAAATTACATCAGTTAATAAGGTGGTATTTGCTCAAGGGTTGGACTCTATGATCTCAGAGGTCATTTCCAAAATAACTGATTCTGTGATTCTCTGAAATTCTTTCATGTGCTTTAAGATGTAGCTGGGATAACATCATTAAACCTAAGGGCTCAGTCAAAAGGGAAAATAAGTCCTGGTACTTCATTGCTTATTATCATCTGATTAAACCTTTGAGATGAAGACTATTCTATGAATTTTGATCTCTCTCTGGAATACCTCTCTTGCATGAAAAAATAAGATCTTTCTGAAGCTTTAACTTGCTTTAAAACATCACAACTTGTTAAAACTAAGCATGAGTCAAAATTCCATTCTGTACATTATTCAGCTAAAATACACAGACAGATGGTTTCCCAATAGAAATTCAAAGAAATCTATTTTCTCAGAGAAATCAAATCCTTTGATGTTAAGGGCAATACTGACTGTTGAAAATCAGGTTCCATTTCAATCAAAATTGAACACATCAGTTTTCATTATGGTAATCTGATTGCAGTTTCAAAGAATCAGGCTTTAAATATGTAAACATGATTCAGGCTTTACATCTCTTCCTTATGATTTCTGCATAAAAACTGGTCAATATCATATGGAAATAAGGACTAGGGCATCACTATTCAGCGATTTTGCAAAAGTGAACAGAGCTAGCTTTCTAAATTTGCATGTCCGATTCTGAGTTACAAGCTAAGAGCTAAATACATTCTCCACATTACTACTACACAGATGTAGTAATACCTGTGCAACAAGTAGAGCCTCTTTAAGCTGACCCCTTGAAGTAAAAAAAGAAACCAGTTTCTTCACATCTCCAATAGCTACACAGTATGGGATGACATCATCATTTTCTTCCTGAATTAACTGATCAGCTCTCCTAATTAAACAAATAAATAAATAAATAAACAAGAAATATCTACACATATGAACAGTCATCAAACTTATCTATATGGTATAGGTGTTAGATGAAGCCAAATAAATTTCACTGAAACCTATCTGCCTTTCCAGACTTGCAAACTGTGAATATTGCACTAAAAAGTATATAAAGTTGCATTTTATGTTCAACCCTTTGATTCTTGTACACAAAGTTGTTGAAATCCTCCACGGTTCCATTCCAAAGTTACTGAACGAAAGTAACATTCCTAGAATACTGTAGCAAAAGACAAGTATAACTGACATTAGTATCCATCCTTCCTACTTGACTGTGTCCTTTTATGGACTGAAGCTGCAATTCAGTCCAATAATAAAATATTTTTATTAACTTACCTTTGCATTAACTTCCTCCAATATTTCATTGATACACCAGGTGCAACTGAGAGAGCTTTGTCCCACTAGAAGAAAGCAGCAATACATTTAACCAACTAATTTTTGTTTGAGAAACAGCCATATGGTAAACTAGTGTGATTTTTCTTCCATTAAAAATGAATATATTAAGAGTTAAATAAGGAATGGGTTATGCTTTAGACTGCATATGTTAAAAATAATTGGAACAAGATTACATTTTGGAACTTGTGACTCATTTGCCTCCCCATCTTTCCTAGGGTAGCTGGTTTTCAGAAACCTTCATATTTTAATAGTCTTCAATAGTATTCTGATATTTTACCTCTCCAAGTTCCACCATTAGCTCACAATATCGCTGAAGCTGTCCTAATCTTAAATGTATTTCTGCAGCTTCTTTGAGTCTTTCCTCTTTGCTTGATGCACCAATACCGCCTCCAAACTTAGACATCTTTACTGTTGTCAGTTCTTGTGCCTTGGACTGAGGGGAAAAAAAGAAAAGATTAAGAAGTTTTCTGTGATGAAAATGAGTTTTCTTAAGAATTGACTATTGTTATATATTACAGTGGAATATAAAGGTTATAATTTAAGAAAAAAACTTCTTTAGAGAAAAGGCTAACTGAAAGAGATTTCAATGAGATTATAGTGAATATATATGTTGTAAAAGTAACTGTGTTTTATTACACACATACATTTTTATTATCTTCCTTTAATAACTTTATTTTTTAATTCTCGTATATAATAATAATTCACCCAGATCTCTCTCATAAAAATCTTGGTATTTTGAAACTTAGAAAAAAGTATTTGTTATCATAAACCATATGAAGCTGGAAGTCGTATGTATTATCATTATAATGATGTCCACATAAAGAAATAACAAAGACAGTAGATTTAACTGGTAGACAATAGGCTCTGGGGCCTGATCTGTTGTGGCCCATTAACCTTATGGCCAATAAATTATTTATATTCCCAGCTACTGCAATTCTTTTTATTAGTTGGGGAGATAAGACCTAATTTCTTCATCTGTCAGTCTGAGAAACAAGCTGCAATAGAATTATATGTAACACAGAAAAAAAAAAGCAAAGTGAGCTTCACATTTCAAAAATTCTCAGTTGAATTCTATCACCAATGCACAATGATGGCATTTGGCTACTCGTGACTTTGCAGTACCATATATGGAAAATGAAGAAAGAATTTTCAACATTTGTCACCAAAGTAAACTGCCATGTAGACCAATAGCAGCTCCCAAGTATCTGGGCTTTTTCTAAATAAACTATGTTAATTTCTTTCCTCAGCACCTCCATATTTGTAATTATTTTCATGCTGAAGTTTCCAGTGCATTCTCTCTGTTCCCTAAAAGCAGAAAAAACACAGTTGCTCTACATCCTTGCTTCATCCTGAAATGTCTAGGTGCTGCAGTGCCATTATTCAGTTTCTTATGAAAAAGAGAGTATTAGCAGTTCTTAAGCAGTCAGCRTTACCCTACCCCTTACTTTCTCTTAAAGGTCTCAAACAAGATTCTGAGTCAGGAAGAAGGGGACAAAATACTTTTAATTAATGTGAACACTTAATCCAGCTCCACAGAATGACCAGCAATTACTGTAGTTACTCTAGGTAACTGGAGTTAGAAATGCATGAAATCATGTTGCAGGGATAAACAGACTGTTTACACTGCACAAATCAAGAGCTAATGTCTTCTCAGGCTAACTGGCTAACTTCTCAGGATAACTTCTTTGGGCATGTGGACACACAAGCAGAGCTTCATAGGATTAGCAGAACAGCTGCTATTATTATAGTTAACAAAACTAATAAAATTTAATCACTTGAGCATCATAAGGAATGTAGGACATTCTTAAAGAGCTTGTGATTTTGCAAAAGGGACAATATGTAACAGCAAATAACAGGTGATACCTGGCAAGTATTAGCCCTGGGGCTGGCAAGCGCATTCCCTGATCCATACCAGTAGACAATTTTTCTTCTATTTACAATTCAATCACTAGAGTATGAGATTCTTTAGTATTCCTAAGAACTTCCTAACAGAACAATGAATCTGCATATTCTACACAAACTGGCCGCATATTCATAAGTTCAGCTACTAATAACTTTATGGCCTAGTACTTGAATTTCCTATTCTCATCCAACTCACTCTTAAGCTGCACATCTGTATTAATGAGAATAAATTCTTGTTTTACCCATTCCTTCTTCCAGAAGGACATACTTCTGCTGACTCTCCTCCATTTTCAGACATGAATTCCATCTGTACATCTGAACATAGCTACACACTTCATGTTAATACAATCAAATAAATTGACTTTTCTGAACATATAAGTACAGTCTATATAATAGGGAAGACAAACTCACTTCATAGCTGAAATTGTAGTGATGATTGCTTTGCAATTTATTTAACTGTTTTGAAAAATGCTTTTCTAGTTATTAACTGCAATCTAGCCTTTTAACCCTGAGTATACACGAAGTCACACAAACTTAGCTAGATACTATTGTAACAGACAAGTATTGCAGTGAAGAGCTGGTATTGCACAAATATCTTTGGACATGAAATTGTGACTCTGGTAAAACAATGAATGTTATTTTTAAAGAGTAAAAAAGAAGTACATGGACTAACCATTTTCACATATTGTCTGTGCTTCACTTACCATTCTAAATCTAATGAGGTGCTTCATATGCATAATTCCTTTGCAGTAGTTTTGTGGAAGCAAACTGTCATCCTGTCCTTTTATTACAGCAACCAAATCCCATAAATTTTTGCTGCCTCCTGGAGGCTAAAATTATTAGGGAAGAAGAGTTTTATTACAGTAACAGTCAAGAGAGAAACTTGAACTTATAAAGTCATTGGAAAAGATTGTCGGTCAACTACAATAAATACCATTTCAATATTAGAATCTTTATTATGAAAACGTGGATTAATTCAAGATACTACAAATTCGTCAGTCCTCTTGAAGGCAGTGAAGATACAGTGAGATCCATGAACCTATTTGGTTATGCATGGATGTAGCTGAGAGCTTGCCATTAGAATTTTCCCTTTTGCTTCCAAGGACATACAAGCCATCTTGTGTCTGATGCYGGCACAAAACAGTCAGCTTCTGGAGTGCAGGAGCTGACCCAGTACTTTACCACTTTCTGTAAAGCAAAGGCATGGGCCAGGGATATTAAGGCCTCAAGGCTTGATTGCCACAATCTGGTTTATTACCTTAATATTAAATTTTGAAATAGACCCATATAAGATAATGGCATATGCACAAAGTAACTTTTTTAAAAATAAATTTTAAGCATTTCTATTGGTGTAGCCTTTGAGACCAATCCTTCTGCAGCAATAGGACAACAGCTTATAATTGAATGAGGTCTAGAAGAGAGTATTTCAAAGCTCAAAAAAATCATTAAACCTTTGACCTGAGAAAGCTTTGCTAAGAATAAGAGGATTACAAGTTTAGAAGTCCAAATATTTCTGAGTTGATAAAAAGCAAAAAAAAAGCATTCCCTACCGGGAAACATTCTTTTCCCCTTGTCCACTACCNCCCCAAAAAAAGAAAAAACTACTCTTTTTTCTGTCAATTAAAACTCTTATTTCTCTCCTCATAGTTTAGCACAGTATCTCATTTTCTGGACTCAAAAAGCACTGAATGTAGCTGATCAAAAAAACTTTTGTTCTTGGAAAATTCTAATATTCTTTTAACAGTTTTACTCTCAAATCAAAATTTGTAACTTCTGTGAAACAACGAATTCCATAAAATATATTTTTAATAAAAAAGTTAATATCCAGATTTGAAATTGAGCAAGATTGTCTCAGGATTTCTAAATAATACACTTCCATTTAGCTACAACTCAAAAAAGAATTTTTGGATGAACTAGGTCCTTGCAGACCAGTGTTTTGACTTAAATTACAACAGTGTTTGACACAAGCTGTAGTTCCAGGTCATTTTTGTCCTTATTCTACCTCAAGTTCAGCTCCTCTGCAGGTAAGCACTCACAGGGACCCAGCAGTTTATATTTTAACTCAATTGCACTGAGAGGCTCTAACCATTTGCATAAATTATTACTGCAGTGAAGAAAAGGCAATACTGGGGCATGGGTCATCCAGATCTACAGATCCCGGAACATAAAGAGAAGTTTGGGCACAGATACTTGGGCAGTTCAAACCTTATCAGTAATGAGGGTGTTCTTTTGATGAATTAAAAATTAAATGCTCAAACACAGTTTGATTAAACACATACTTTAATTTCTTTCAATAGCAAATTGCTGTCAAATTAACCTTTCCTATAGAAAATGATATTGTTTCACTAATTTAGCTTTGCAAAAACCTGGTGTTCACAACTGACAGACAATTCAATCATGGATATTTTTACATGCAGATCTGTTAAGAAATAGAATGGATTTCTGCCTGTTTTCTAAGGTCCCTTCAAGAAAAAGAAAAAAAATGGTAGAGAAGAAAGAAATCTCAATTTTGAACACTGACTTCAGCAGAGAAAGTCATGCACTGACAAAATCCCTAAGTTTGCAGAATACTTACTGAAAAACATTCTGAAAACCACCTTAGTTTTTTTCCTCGATGATTTCCTGGCAACTTTTCCAATTCTTGTTTAATATCCCTGGAAACTTTACCACACAGCAAAGGTGGAGCACCGGATTCCACAGCAYGATCTAACACACACAAAGATTCATATATTAAAATAAAAAACAAACAAAGAATAAGAATAGTAACATAAAGAAAATTAAAACAATGGTATATACAATTTGTTTACCTGTATTACTGATAATATCATCCCAACATCTATCTGTTATGATATTTATTTGTAGTGGATTTATCAGAGGTGTCAGTGACCAGAGTCTCACAGTGGAATCTCGAGAGCAGGATGCCACAGTAAATGGACGACTAGGATGGCATGTTAATCCTAGTAGAGAGGACATTTAAACATGTAGTCAATTAAGTTTATCTAATAATCTGTTTGATTAAATTACTTTATAAATGTCAAAACATACTAGAACGCATTTCAACACAGAAATAAAACAAAATTTAAAAAATGTTACCATATACATCTGCACCATGATCATAAACCGTGTCCAAACACGTTCCATCTCTTGTGTCCCAGACTCGAATTGTATAGTCCCAACTGCCAGATATTAGAAGGTAAGGAATTTCAGGATTCCACATCAGTCCCCGTACTGGAGCTGTATGCCCACTAAGAACATTTATACAAGCATCCTGTGTATAATCCCATATCCTAACAGTACTGAAACAGAATGAGAGACCAATTTGCATCAAATCAGCTATTGAAATGTAATTATTTCTCTACTTATATTCTAAGCTTCAAATTTATATTTGCATCACATCAGGCCTCAAAGTTTTATAGCGAAAGGGGCTAAGTATGGCTGGTGACCGGTCATGGTGAGCGATGCTCCTCAGGGTTCAATTCTAGGGCCAGTCCTGTCCAATGTATTTTATTGTCAAGAAGTTTGCTATCAAGTTCTTTCCTATCATGAATCACTACAATATGAACTAACAGATTTTGCTTCAAGCAAAAACCTGTAATGAATGGTAATTAGGAAAGCTATAGAAGTCAACGCTTCAAACTTGCTATCCTTTACAAAAACATCTTGTATACTCTGCAGGGAAGTGGCTTAGAATTAYAGAAAAATGCTTCCTCCTGCTTACCACAGACTGATCTCCCTCAAAAGCAATGTCATTAAACCAACAAAATGGAAGTATCTAATACTCATAAAATTCTCTGTAGATTCTACTTAAGTATACTTTTGAAAACTATCAAATAAGAGCAGGTCTTGCATCTGTTTCTTTAGACATAATGTACACATGTGGTATCCTGTTTGTATTATTCCTCTCAGTAACAGCACCAGGCACTGACACTACTCTTGGGAAAGCATTTGGAAAGTTGCACTATTGCAGCAGTTGCGACAATTTTAGATTGTCATGGTTTTACTTGGTCTGATTTTTTGGTGGTGGGGGGATGGGACCAAGAAAACCACAAAGATGGCTGCTGTGAGGTAGTTCTAGAAGCTTTCTCCTTCTTCTCCAACAAAAGGAGCTCTGCCTCCTGTGTTTTAAAGCCAATCCATCATTGGCTCTGGGTTGACTGACAGGCTGCCCATCAGGCCTGGGCCAATTGCACAGGTTGGTTACACCTCTGTGATGACATATTATGTAGTATTTAAGAAAGAAATCAAAATAAGATAGGGCAGCCGCCATGTTTAGTTTTAAGTTGTTAGCATGTAGTTTTTAGTATCATGCACCAGGAAAAAAACAGAGCAGGAGGGTGAGGAGATGTAAGAAGAAAAATGGAGACCTAAAGATCACAGAACAGTAAGGAGAAGCTGTGCCCTTGCTGTGATTCTCGAACATGGAGGAAATAAGTGTCTCGGAAAGGACTGAGAGAGAGACCTGAATAGGGAACAAGAGAGAGACCTTGCTGTGAGGAGGAAAAACAAAAAAAACCCCTGGCCTTTGAGGACTGGACTGAAATGATTAAGAAGAAGATGTTGTTCTGCKGGGAGGGAGAGGTGCCTCCGCTCAAGCAAATGAAGCTGTGCTCTGCCAGGAGGTTTGTGATAGTCGGTCTCACGCTGAGAAAACAACGCAGTCTGGCCTTGAAGGACATTCTTTCTTTTCTCCTGTGAGGTAAAGGAATTTTTCTTTTCCCTGCCATTAACAGTTATACACTGACTATTCTCAGAGAAGACAACTCCCACAGTTGGAGCTCTAAGAATGTTTCTCCTACGACACTTGACAATAACTGAGTGTTTTGATCTGTGTTAGACTTTCATTTTCCTGGCCCCCTTTGTGTGAGGGACAACATGGGGGGAGTGGAGAGGGATGGGACTTGGAAAAAGATACGGGTCCTCGGAAAGGATAACAAGTGTCTTAAAATGTCTATTTTATTTTTCTTCTCCTTGTAAATTTATCCCTTATCTCTGTTTTCCCCCCAGTGTCTTAGTATTCTTAGTGTGTAGTAATAAATCTGTTTTGCAACTTAAGTTATGTAGCCTGCCTGACTATCTTTGTGGAGCACATACATATCTTTCTCCCAATTATGCTATGTTTATCTCAAAGCCATAAATTCTCGTGTTAATTAGGTTTTCGCTCTCCCTTCTCTCTCTCTGGTGGGGGAAGGGAGAGGACGTCGTGGCTGTCAGCACAGTCAAAACCACCACATTTTGATGCCGTAACTCGGATAAGGGAAGATCAGGTTTTAAACCCACGACATAGATAATGATCCTGCTGCCCAAATATACATAAAGCTAAGAGCAAAGCTAAAACCTGAATCTGAACAAGACAGTGGTTTAGATTCTTAACTATTCACAACACCATAAAAAGTAAAGATCTTAAATTCCTCCAATAGTCCTGTGTGAGGTTTAAGTTTTCTAATAGTTAGAAATACTAACCAGTCATCAGAACCACTGCAGAGGATTCCTTCTCTGAGAGGAGACCACCGTACATGAAACACCTTTGCAGTATGCCCAGTGAAAAGTTTCAGTGGTTGATCAGAGCTAGTCGCCAAGTAGTAAACACGAACATTTTTATCCTCACAACCAGTAGCTATCATATCTCTACAAAATAAAAACAGCAAAATCCTTGGTCACAGAGATGATCAATGCTTTTTTAAATTTTTAAAAAATGTAGCATGCAATTTGCAATTTTTTTTTTTAAATAGCGTATTTTTCCTTCTCCTTTGTCTCCTTAAGATTTAAAGAAACTAAATCAGAAAAAATCTTGTTAGAGATCTATTAGTTGCAAAGGGGAAAAGTGTTTGCACTAGTCTGACCATGCACCCAATACTCAACTATTAATAGATTGAATAACTATACATTTTTTTTTTGATAAAAGGTTCTCATGTTATTATTAGAAACTATCTACAAAATACACATATAATCACAATGCGTTTAGTTGTCTGCTACATCTTCACCTTAGCAATCACTACAAGGATGCCAACCTAAACCCCTCTTTCATGGTATTAAATGTCTGCCTTTTTCATCCCCATTATATATTGAGCTAGATAATTTTTTTTCTCTTATCAATATGAAAAGATCCTCCTTTGAAAGTTAAGGAAGTTCATGGTGTTCAATGAAATATACTACCAAGAACAGAGAGCTGCTATAGGCATATCCTACTGTGGAACAGATAATTTCAGTGTTTTACTATCACAGTGAATATCCCATTCTAAATAATTTTGTGTTACTTTGCTGGTAAACAATTTAAATAGTAAATATTGTCAATTCTTTGGGCTAATTTTTACTTACTTGTTGTTTTGACTCCAATCACAGCCAAACACTGCTGCTGGATGTTTGTACTTGTGAAGAACATTGCCATCAATAGTTCGAATAATACTGAAACCAATTACAACATAATATTATAAGAAAAAATACATCTGAGTAGGCTACAAAAATTAAGTTTTATTCTGTGCAAATAAGCCAGATAGGAAAATGATTATACACAAAGAATATGAGAAATAGTCACAAACAATATCAGCCCCTTAATTACATCTAACTGGATGTTGACTGTACAACACCTAACTCAACTTCAGTATCTATGTTTCTTCAGAGGGGCTTTAAAGATGTTCACGGTAGTACCCCTTTCTTGAAAGGATACTCATAGCCCAAAATCAAAGCTGTGGTCATAGCTTTAAGGTACAAATAGAGCTTCAGAATTAAAAA